GGTTAATGCAGTAACATGAATCCTCGTAAAAAGGTTTCAGTTTTGTTGCCAGAAAAAAGGGGAAAAACCCTATCATTACATTTTGGTACTGGCAAAGGAGGTCTAATGATGAATAATAGCTTTCAAACACTGCACGTGGTTATCCGCTATTGGCATAGCCAACACCTTAAACGCCTTTTGTTTTGTCAATATAAATCGGAGCAGGCTGTTACGGTATAATAACGACGTGCCCGCTAAACTCGGGCCCTCTTGTCCACTGATGAACGAGGAAATTTAACAAAAAATGACAACAGAAACTCACGCAAATTAAGAAGTAAGCTAAAGTAACAAAAATATTTGGGTTTCTTTAATCAAAACACACCTCCATATTGATTACAAACCCTCACGCAAACATTCCCCCCGACTCGTGCGTTTATACGTTGGCCGAATGCGAAAGCCACGATGTCACACAAAACGCGTTCTAAGGAGATTTGAACTCTCAATGCTCTGGGTTACAAACCCAGCGCCGAATCCCCCGAGCCACGAGGCTGGGTGCCGGCGTGCCCCCCGTGCCGTCGCGAGCGCGTTAGCGGGGTGCCCGTGCTCTGCCGCTCGAATCTTAAAAGCGCAAACGGTCGCCTCCGATTAAATCTTGACGGAAGAATGTCAAGAAAACCTCCAAAGTCGAGACGATCAAAACGGCGGCGGGGCATTGGGGGGCCGAGTAAATGGAACGTGGGATGGCAAAAAGCGATTTGAGCGATAACGACGCCCGAGAGTAAAACCATCCCGCTAAATCAAGACGTGCAGGTCGTGGGGCGCGTCCACGCCGTGGGAGGCGCCGCCAGCGGCCTGCTCGGGGGGCTCCTGGTGGGCCCTCGGCGTCGCCCCCAGCTCCGTCTGAAGCTCCTGCACCTCGTCACGGAGCTGCCACAATTCCGATGGTGACATCGCTCTGGGACCCGCCGTGGACTCCGGCTCGACAGCATCTGCCACCCTAGAAACGAGTCGAATTTCAATAAGAGTATTTTCATTAACAAAATATATATATACACTCTCCATGATAGAGGGTTTTTTGGTTATATCGCATGTATAGTGCAGTGTATAGTGTAGTATAAAGTGCAGTGTATAGTGTAATGTATAGTAGTATAAAGTGCAGTGTATAGTGTAGTGTATAGTAGTGTATAGTGTAGTGTATAGTGTAGTGTATAGCGTAGTGTATAGTAGTGTATAGTGCAGTGTATAGTGTAGTGTATAGTGTAGTGTATAGTGCAGTGTATAGTGTAGTGTATAGTGTAGTGTATAGTGCAGTGCATAATGTAGTGTATAGTGCAGTGGATAGTAGTGTATAGTGTAGTGTATAGTTTACTGTAGTGTGTAGTGTAGTGTATAGTGTAGTGTATAGTGTAGTGTATAGTGTAATGTATAGTGCAGTGCATAGTGTAGTGTATAATGCAGTGGATAGTAGTGTATAGTGTAGTTTATAGTGTACTGTAGTGTGTAGTGTAGTGTATAGTGTAGTGTATAGTGTAGTGTATAGCGCAGTGTATAGTGCAGTGTATAGTGTAGTGAATAGTGCAGTGTATAGTGTAGTGTATAGTGCAGTGTATAGTGTAGTGTATAGTGCAGTGGATAGTGCAGTGTATAGTGCAGTGTATAGTGCAGTTAGTGCAGTATTGTAGTGTATAGTGTAGTGTATAGTGCAGTGTATAGTGCAGTGTATAGTGTAGTGTATAGTGCAGTGTATAGTGCAGTGTATAGTGCACACAACATCTATATACATATTCTTAGCTCTTTCGGTAAAGTCACGTTGCAGGGAAACAATAACATAATAAAATATATATAAAACAATAAAACCGGATTCCCACCACCATCCATCACAGAAGAATTCTCTCATCAAGACTCTGTACCATACAGCCCAATGCATATCCGACCAGGAACACATAGTCAGTGAACTCAAGCACGTACACCAAGTTCTTAAGGCTAATGGTTACTCCAACTATACAATCCGCAAAGCTATCACTCAAACCATGAAGGACCCTCTTGAGGAGCCTTTCAAAACCATCACTTTACTCTACATTGCGGGGATCACAAAAAAGATCTCTAAAATCTTGAATAAACACAAGATCCAGGTCCGTTTCAACACATTACATAAAATCCGTGATCTGGTTCCGTCTGTAAAAGAAGTGATTCCGGACATACAGTACATTGGAGAAACCAAACGCCACGTCTCGGACCGCATCCGTGAACACAAAGCAGACCTTAAACACGGTAGGACCAACACCTCGGCCGTGGCAGATCATTGTTATAATTCAGTAGGCTCACATGACATTGACTTTTCCAAGACAGAGGTTCTTTGTAAGCCATCTGGCTACCATGAGAGATTCGTTCATGAGGCTATCCACATATACAAGCACAGAGACAATTCCAACCGAGAAGATGGATTCTGGCTTAGCAATCATTGGAAAGATTTGATTAACCATTTCAGGTCTTAATTGATTGTTCACGCTTACAGTGGCTTTCAGACAGCATACATTAATTTTTCGTCTCCCCCCTCCTCTTTTCAGAACATAGATGGACTCGTCCTTCTAAATAAACTGCCAAATCGCTGCGCGTGGCGCTGACGTTTTTTAAAAATAAATAAAGACACCGTTTAAAAATAAATAAATTGATGCAAACCGACACACCTGATGACGACCGTTTGTGTTATGGTCGAAACGTCGTGAGAATTTTTATTGTTTTATATATTTTTTTATTATTTTATTGTTTCCCTTCAACGTGACTTTACCGAAAGAGCTAAGAATATTAATTACTGCAGTCACGAAAGCTTTAAATCAAAATCTATATACATAGCTATCAACACATACACTACACTATACACTACACACACAACATCGATATACATAGCTATCAACACATATACTACACTATAAAATATACACAACATATATATAGCTATCAACACGTACACTACACTATACACTACAAACACAACATCTATATCCATAGCTATCAACACATACACTACATTGTACACTACACTATAAACTACACACAACATCTATATACATAGCTATCAACACATACACTACACTATACAGTATACACTACACACACAACAGCTATATACATAGCTATCAACACATACACTACACTACACACACATCTATATACATAGCTATCAACACATACACTACACTATACACAACATCTATATATATAACTATCAACACATACACTACATTATACACTATACTATAAACTATACACAACATCTATATACATAGCTATCAACACATACACTACACTATACACTACACACAACATCTATACATAGCTATCAACACATACACTACACTATACACTACACTATAAACTACAAACATCTATATACATAGCTATCAACACATACACTACACTATAAACTACACACATCTATATACATCGCTATCAACACATACACTACACTATACATTACAAACACAACATCTATATACATAGCTATCAACACATACACTACACTATACACTACAAACACAACATCTATATACATACTATTAACACATACACTACATTGTACACTACACTATAAACTACCCACAACAGCTATATATATAGCTATCAAAACATACACTACGCTATACAGTATACACTACACACACAACATCTATATACATAGCTATCAACACATACACTATACACTACACACAACATATATATAGCTATCAACACATACACTACATTATACACTACACTATAAACTATACACAACATCTATATACATAGCTATCAACACATACACTACATTATACACTACACTATAAACTATACACAACATCTATATACATAGCTATCAACACATACACTACATTATACACTACACTATACAATACACACAACATCTATATACATAGCTATCAACACATACACTACATTATACACTATACACTACACACAACATCTATATACATAGCTATCAACACATACACTACATTATACACTACACTATAAACTATACACAACATCTATATACATAGCTATCAACACATACACTACATTATACACTACACTATAAACTATACACAACATCTATATATATAGCGGTTGGGAAGCTGACGGAACCGTTATTATTTCCCTTCCACGTGACTTTACCGAAAGAACCAAGAATAAGAGACAGCTTTGTTTAGAGCCTAGTCTCAAACAGTGTTAGATGAGAGGACAATGCCACTATGAAGACATTGACAGCTCGGGGTGAGACACACGAGGCTCTAAAGAAAGCTGTCTCTGGTGTGGACCAATCAGTTTCAAAGACAATGCATCATCATAGACTACCAGAGCGTGTTTCTTTTTGCATGTTCATTACAAGTACCGTGTGCGTGGCCAATGCAGTGAGATGATTCCTTGCAAGAGGTTTACGTTTGGTGTTATCATGTTCACACAGCTGTTTTATTTCTAGAAAAGGGTAAAACCAATTCTTATATTTTGTTACTGGCAAGGGAGGTCCCATGATGTTTTTGCTGTTGTCATCATCGGCGAAACGTCACGGAAACTCGAATTGTCGGCGTAGTTGGGGGTCGCTCTCTGACACACAGCCGGCGAGTGTCGAGCCGGTAGCGACCCGGCACGTTTAGTTTACGTGACGCAATGCCAACCGCGCCGGCGAGGCCCCACACCTGCTCCGTGGCCGGTGCCTCCCGCTCAGCGAGTCGTGGATGGCGCCCAGCCCCAGGTAGGCAATCTCGGACAGTTGGAGCAGGAGGCTGAGACCGGCGACTGCGTACATGACCAGAAGGAATACGGTCTTCTCTGTGGGGCGCGACACAAAGCAGTCGACGCTATTCAGGCAGGGGTCACGGACGCACTGGAAGCGCGGTGCCACCTCCAAGCCATACATCAGGTACTGCCCCACCAGGAAGCCGACCTCGGCCAGCGTGCGGGCCAGCAGCTGGAGGGTGTAGGCCACCATCAGGCCGTCCGTCTTGATCCTCCACCGCTCGTTGTGCTGCTTCCCCTTGCCGTCTTCTTCACCCTCCAGCCTCCTCTTCCACCTCCACCTCCTCCACCACCTCCTCCTCTTTCTCCGTGCATTCAACCACGCGGTCGGGGCCGCCGGCTCGCTTGGCTCGCTTGGTTTGTTCGTCTCGCTTGTACTCGATCCTACCACGACAGAGAGCGGCGGCGTTGAAGTTTCACCCCTCGGTGTGAAACGTCGCGAGCAAATGGAAATATGCGCTCGCTATGAAACGTGACATTACGACGAACAGCAACAGCTACGAGGCTGTCCGGGATTCCACTTTCACTTCTGATCGTCGCCTCTGAGAGACCACTTAAAGTGTCCGTGCCGGTGACAATGATCCGAATCAGTTCTGGGCCTACCCTAGGTCGACTAAGCCTCGAATGAGTACCTGTTGAGATTTGTAAAAACTTTGCCAACTGGGGAGAAAAATGCAGCCCGGCGTGGCTTTGGCCATAGACCCCCCTCGTGTGCTTTGAGGCAGCGCTCATGAGCAGCGCTTATCCCGACAGCCTGTGCAGACTACACGGGGGAATTTTGTCTTTGTGCGCGTGTGGCCCCGTGCGCGTCCGCGTGTGTCTGTGTGTGCGTGGCCTTACCGTGCACGTAGCCTGGCACAAGCACCGCTGGTGACGTCACCACCGATTAGTGGCAAATGGCGGTTGTTGTTGTGGATGTCTGTGCGCTACAAGCAAGCCAGCATCGGGACTCGAGGTAAGTGAAAATATTTACCTTCCTTTATTTTACGCTTTATTTACTACTAGCGGGAAGCACCCGGCGTTGCCCGGGGGAAAAAAATATTGAAAAACTTCTCAAAACTTAAAAACATAACATATACAAATAAAAAAATAAACGATGATCATTGCCTCATTCATAAAAATTTAAATAAAACCCAACGCGCGGCGGAAAAAAAACGTACGCTCGCGCGCCAAGATTCGATTCTTTAGATCGCGCAAAGGAATCGAAGGTTGTAGATTTCTTTAGAATCGGCCTATTCCCAATTACTCGATACCACAAAAGCTCACCAGATATAGATTCTCGTCACACTTCATCGTCATCCCCCCCCCCCCCAAAAAAGTGTATTTTTATGTTTGCATGGTGTACAGTATGGAAAGTACCCACATGGCAAATTTCAAGTGTGTTGCATGTCGGGAAGTACGCTAAACATTTCGAACAGACACACATATTCACAAAATTCCCTATAATAAATATAGATACACTACGCAATTATAATATCGCATGCAGATGTATTATATTTCTTACTGTTGAAGAGTTTAACAATGCTTCCCTTTTTGCTGTTGAACCGCAGCGTATTTCACGACGCTGACCGGGTGCGTGTTTAAACACAGCGCAGATTCGCTCTCCTGAAGTAAACTAGCCGTTCGGACGTACCGACGGGGGGGCTCGGGAACGGAACTCCATTCCTAAGTCAAGGGGAAACCTTGCCGGCCCTTTCACCGTTCAAACTCGTGACCAAATCGACGGCGCAGCCTAATTAAAAAACAAATTAAAACATTTCCAACTGCGGGCAGCCATTCAAATTTCCACCGTAGCCCCCCCGCTGTGAAAACTCCCTCCGGGGACCTCCGTACCTGGTGATGCGATGCACTGCAAAGCCGAGGTACAGGATGGTGGGCGTGGCGACCGCGATGCTCTGGAACACCCAGAAGCGGACGTGGGAGAGCGGTGCGAAGCTGTCGTAGCAGACGTTCTCGCAGCCGGGCTGCGCCGTGTTGCACGCGAAGCTGCCCTGCTCGTCGTAGTAGATGGACTCGCCGGCGACCGTCGTGAGAATGATGCGAAAGATGAGGAAGGTGGTGATCCACAGCTTGCTCAGGAAGGTGGAGTGCCGATCAACCTTCTCCAGCAGCTGCGTGAGGTAGACCCAGCTCATCGTGGCCGCCGGTCAGATGCAGCGACGCCGCTGCGGGGAAATGTTCACACGAGTTTGTACATGCACTACTCTACTTACAAACCTTCAACTTAAAGACTTTTAGAGATAATAAAAAATCTATCCCGTTTGTCCAGTTGCCCGTTTGGAATGAGAGTCGTAAGTTCAACCTCCATGCACAATAAATGGCAGTGGTGGCCTCTACATCGACAGAAGGTGAAGAACCATTGGCAACTACATCTGTAGAACGTGATGAACCAGTGGCATCTACATCTGCAGAACACGAAGAACCAGTGGCGTCTAGATCTGCAGAACGTGTAGAACCAGTGGCATCTAGATCTGCAGAACATGAAGAACCAGTGGCATCTACATCTGCAGAACGTGAAGAACCAGTGGCATCTACATCTGCAGAACGTGAAGAACCAGTGGCATATACATCTGCAGAACGTGAAGAACCAGTGCCATCTACATCTACAGAATGTGAAGAACCGGTGGCATCTACATCTACAGAACGTGAAGAACCAGTGGCATCTACATCTACAGAACACGAAGAACCAACCGCATCTACATCTGCAGAACGTGAATAACCAGTTGCATCTACATCTACAGAACATCAAGAACCAGTGGCATCTACATCTACAGAACGTGAAGAACCAGTGGCATCTAAATCTACAGAACGTGAAGAACCAGTGGCATCTACATCTACAGAACGTGAAGAATCAGTGGCATCTACATCTGCAGAACATGAAGAACCAGTTGCATCTACATCTACAGAATGTGAAGAACCAGTGGCATCTACATCTACAGAATGTGAAGAACCAGTGGCATCTACATCTGCAGAATGCGAAGAACCAGTGGCATCTACATCTGCAGAACGTGAAGAACCAGTTGCATCTACATCTACAGAACGTGAAGAACCAGTGGCATCATAATCTGCAGAATGCGAAGAACCAGTGGCATCAACATCTGCAGAACGCGAAGAACCAGTGGCATCTACATCTGCAGAAAGCGAAGAACCAGTGGCATCTACATCTACAGAATGTGAAGAACCAGTGGCATCTACATCTGCAGAACGCGAAGAACCAGTGGCATCAACATCTGCAGAACGCGAAGAACCAGTGGCATCTACATCTACAGAACGTCAAGAACCAGTGAAATCTAGAGAACGCGAAGAACCAGTGGCATCTACATCTGCAGAACGTGAAGAACCAGTGGCATCTACATCTGCAGAACGGGAAGAACCAGTGGCATCATAATCTGCAGAACGCGATGAACCAGTGGCATCTACATCTGCAGAACGTGAAGAACCAGTGGCATCTACATCTACAGAACGTGAAGAACCAGTGGCATCTACATCTGCAGAACGTGAATAACCAGTTGCATCTACATCTACAGAACACGAAGAACCAGTGGGATCTACATCTGCAGAACATGAAGAACCAGAACATGATGAACCAGTGGCATCTACATCTGCAGAACGTGATGAAGCAGTTGCATCTACATCTACAGAACGTGAAGAACCTGTTGAATCTCTATATCTACAGAACGTGAAGAACCAGTGGCAACTACATCTGCAAAACGTGAATAACCAGTTGCATCTACATTTACAGAACATGAAGAACCAGTGGCATCTACATCTGCAGAACGTGATGAATCAGTTGCATCTACATCTACAGAACGTGAAGAACCAGTGGCATCTAAATCTACAGAACACGAAGAACCAATGGCATCTACATCTGCAGAACGTGAAGAACCTGTTGCATCTACATCTACAGAACATGAAGAACCTGTTGCATCTACATCTACAGAACGTGAAGAAACCAGTGGCATCTACATCTACAGAACGTGAAGAACCAGTTGCATCTACATCTACAGAACATGAAGAACCAGTGGCATCTACATCTGCAGAACGTGAAGAACCAGTTGCATCTACATCTGCAGAACATGAAGAACCAGTGGCATTTAAATCTGCAGAACACGAAGAACCAGTGGCATCTACATCTGCAGAACATGATTAACCAGTGGCATCTACATCTACAGAACGTGAAGAACCAGTGGCATCTACATCTACAGAACGTGAAGAACCAGTTGCATCTACATCTACAGAACGTGAAGAAACCAGTGGCATCTACATCTACAGAATGTGAAGAACCAGTTGCATCTACATCTACAGAACATGAAGAACCAGTGGCATCTACATCTGCAGAACGTGAAGAACCAGTTGCATCAACATCTGCAGAACATGATGAACCAGTGGCATTTAAATCTGCAGAACACGAAAAACCAGTGGCATCTACATCTGCAGAACATGATTAACCAGTGGCATCTACATCTACAGAACGTGAAGAACCAGTGGCATCTACATCTGCAGAACGTGAAGAACCAGTTGCATCTACATCTACAGAACGTGAAGAATCAGTGGCATCTACATCTGCAGATCATGAAGAACCAGTTGCATCTACATCTACAGAATGTGAAGAACCAGTGGCATCTACATCTACAGAACATGAAGAACCAGTAGCATCTACATCTACAGAACGTGAAGAACCAGTTGCATCTACATCTACAGAACATGAAGAACCAGTGGCATCTACATCTGCAGAACGTGAAGAACGAGTTGCATCTACATCTGCAGAACATGAAGAACCAGTGGCATTTAAATCTGCAGAACACGAAGAACCAGTTGCATCTACATCTACAGAACATGATTAACCAGTGGCATCTACATCTACAGAAAGTGAAGAACCAGTGGCATCTACATCTGCAGAACGTGAAGAACCAGTTGCATCTACATCTACAGAACGTGAAAAATCAGTGGCATCTACATCTGCAGATCATGAAGAACCAGTTGCATCTACATCTACAGAATGTGAAGAACCAGTGGCATCTACATCTACAGAACATGAAAAACCAGTAGCATCTACATCTACAGAACGTGAAGAACCAGTAGCATCTACATCTACAAAACATGAAGAACCAGTGGCATCTACATCTACAGAACGTGAAGAACCAGTGGCATCTACATCTGCAGAACATGAAGAACCAGTTGCATCTACAACTACAGAATGTGAAGAACCAGTGGCATCTACATCTACAGAATGTGAAGAACCAGTGGCTTCTACATCTGCAGAATACGAAGAACCAGTGGCATCTACATCTGCAGAACGTGAAGAACCAGTTGCATCTACATCTACAGAACGTGAAGAACCAGTGGCATCATAATCTGCAGAACACGAAGAACCAGTGGCATCTACATCTGCAGAACGCGAAAAACCAGTGGTATCTACATCTGCAGAACGCGAAGAACCAGTGGCATCTACATCTGCAGAACGTGAAGAACCAGTGGCATTTACATCTGCAGAACGTGAAGAACCAGTCCCATCTACATCTACAGAACGTGAAGAACCAGTGGCATCTACATCTACAGAACGTGAAGAACCAGTGGCATCTACATCTACAGAACACGAAGAACCAACGGCATCTACATCTGCAGAACGTGAATAACCAGTTGCATCTACATCGACAGAACATGAGGAACCAGTGGTATCTACATCTACAGAACGTGAAGAACCAGTGGCATCTACATCTACAGAACGTGAAGAACCAGTGGCATCTACATCTACAGAACGTGAAGAATCAGTGGCATCTACATCTGCAGAACATGAAGAACCAGTTGCATCTACATCTACAGAATGTGAAGAACCAGTGGCATCTACATCTACAGAATGTGAAGAACCAGTGGCATCTACATCTGCAGAATGCGAAGAACCAGTGGCATCAACATCTGCAGAACGTAAAGAACCAGTTGCATCTACATCTACAGAACGTGAAGAACCAGTGGCATCATAATCTGCAGAATGTGAAGAACCAGTGGCATCTACATCTGCAGAACATGAAGAACCAGTTGCATCTACATCTACAGAATGTGAAGAACCAGTGGCATCTACATCTACAGAATGTGAAGAACCAGTGGCATCTACATCTGCAGAATGCGAAGAACCAGTGGCATCAACATCTGCAGAACGTGAAGAACCAGTTGCATCTACATCTACAGAACGTGAAGAACCAGTGGCATCATAATCTGCAGAATGCGAAGAACCAGTGGCATCTACATCTGCAGAACGCGAAGAACCAGTGGCATCTACATCTGCAGAACGCGAAGAACCAGTGGCATCTACATCTACAGAATGTGAAGAACCAGTGGCATCTACATCTGCAGAATGCGAAGAACCAGTGGCATCTACATCTACAGAACGTCAAGAACCAGTGAAATCTAGAGAATGCGAAGAACCAGTGGCATCTACATCTGCAGAACGTGAAGAACCAGTGGCATCTACATCTGCAGAACGGGAAGAACGAGTGGCATAACAATCTGCAGAACGCGATGAACCAGTGGCATCTACATCTGCAGAACGCGAAGAACCAGTGGCATCTACATCTACAGAACGTGAAGAACCAGTGGCATCTACATCTGCAGAACGTCAATAACCAGTTGCATCTACATCTACAGAACACGAAGAACCAGTGGGATCAACATCTGCAGAACATGAAGAACCAGAACATGATGAACCAGTGGCATCTACATCTGCAGAACGTGATGAAGCAGTTGCATCTACATCTACAGAACGTGAAGAACCAGTGGCATCTAAATCTACAGAACACGAAGAACCAATGGCATCTACATCTGCAGAACGTGAAGAACCTGTTGCATCTACATCTACAGAACGTGAAGAACCAGTTGCATCTACATCTGCAGAACATGAAGAACCAGTGGCATTTAAATCTGCAAAACATGAAGAACCAGTGGCATCTACATCTGCAGAACATGATGAACCAGTGGAATCTACATCTGCAGAACGTGAAGAACCAGTTGCATCTACATCTACAGAATGTGAAGAACCAGTGGCATCTACATCTACAGAATGTGAAGAACCAGTGGCATCTACATCTGCAGAATGCGAAGAACCAGTGGCATCAACATCTGCAGAACGTGAAGAACCAGT